TCATCAGCTAAAAGGCAGGGACTGTCCTCTCCTGGGCTTTACGCATCAGATGGGGACCTCTCAGTGGCACAGTGGCTCTCCCTGGCTCTGTGGTCAGACCCTGTGAGGGTGCAAAGGATGTTTGGGTACCTACAGGCAGGTTGGGAACTTGCATCTGTTGTCTCTGGTTTCTTCTCCTGTGTAACTGGGAGGAGTGGCTGACACACCAGAAGGCTGTGCCATCATCCAGTGAGACCTGGACAGGCTGTAGAGTTGGGCGGAGAGGAACCTAATGAAATTCAACAAGGGCGAGTGTAGGATCCTGCATCTGGGGAGGAATAACCTCATGCACCAGTTGGTGGGCTTACCTGCTGGAAAGCAGCTCTGCAGAGAGGGACCTGGGAGTCGTGGTGGACAACAAGATGACTGAGCCAGCAAGGTGCCCTGGTGGCCAAGAGGGCCAATGGTATCTTGGGGTGCATTAAAAAGAGCATGGCAAGCTGATTGAGGGAGGTCATCCTCCCCCCTGCTCTGCCCTGGGGAGGCCACATCTGGAGCACTGTGTCCAGTTCGGGGCTCCCCGGGTCAAGAAGGACAGGGAATTGCTGGAGAGGGTCCAGCAGAGGCTAAGAAGATGCTCAGGGGACTGGAGCATCTCTCTGCTGAGGAAAGGCTGAGAGCCCTGTGGCTGTTCAGTCTGGAGGAGAGAAGGCTGAGAGGGGATCTTATCAATGCTGATCAATATCTAAAGGGCGGGTGGCAAGAGGACAGGGCCAGACTCTTTTCAGTGGTGCCCAGTGACAGGACAAGAGGCAACACGCACAAGTAGGAACATGGGAAATTCCATCTCAACATGAGGAAAATCTTATTTACTCTGAGGGTGGCAGAGCACTGGCACAGGCTGCCCAGAGAGGCTGTGAAGTCTCCTTCTCTGGAGAGATTCAAAACTCTCCTGGACAGTTTCCTGCCTTTACAACCTCCATTCATGGCTTCCCAGGCAAGGAAAGAAAAAAAACACAGTTTGTGGATGGCTACTGATGACTATGGCTCAAATGTCCCCAACTGCAGCTGCAGTAACTTGGGGGTGACCTTTTGCACCTTCCAGCAAAGGCAGGGCTGAGGGACATGGTTAAGTGGTGGACTTGGCAGTGCTAGGTTATTGGTTGGACTGGGAAATAACCATTGTCTTTTCCGGCCTAAGTGATTCTATGATTCTATAATTCTATGATTTATAAATTAGTTTTCTTTTTTTTTTTTTTTAATGTGTCTGGTGGTGTAACACTTGCTGAAATGGCATTTTATTTCCTGAGCAGAGCAGTCCCATGGTACGTCTGGACGGGGATACGGCGCAGGGGGCAAGCAGCCCAGGATGACAGGGAGGCAAATACTCATTTTGGTGCAAGCCTTGTGGTGGCCATCATTTCTCAGCTGGTTGTTTTATCTCTCCCTACTCCGGGAAGAGGATCTTGACACAGACAGTTTGCAGAGCCGTTTCAGCTGTTCAGACAGCTCAACCACAATATGTTGCCTCAAATTGTTTTGTTAAGCATATGCATCAGCTGTACTTGTTTGCCTTGAAGCTATGAGAACCACAGACCCTCCTGAGAAAATTCAGCTTCTACATAGACATAAAGAGCTTGACAGGGATCTCAAATGTACCCTGCTGCACAAGGCAGCGAGCTGCAAACCTGCTGTGGCCCATGAAGCTCTTTAGATTTTAGATGTTATCATTAGTTACTGCATTCCCAGAGCCTCGATGTCTGGAAGCTGAAGCCTGAAGGGTTGTTTTGCTTTACGTCCTTTCAAGATCTAGGTACTCCCTGGAGCCGCAGTAGCTCGGGGATGGGTGCTGGGACCTGCGGAGGCTCCCGGATGGGTGCTGAGACCCATGGTGGCTTGAGGATGCAGGAGCCCATGGCAGAGTGAGGCAGGGACATAAAACGGCTGGGCCTCCAGTTGGAGCCGAAGGGGTATTTCTGTGGGTGCTCGGTGGCACAAGCGTGGGAGGGAGAGCAGGGGCAGGGACTGGTTTTGGTTGGCACATGCCAGGGGAGACGCAGCTCTGGTCAGCGCAGCAGCACTGGGCCGTGGTCACGGTGCCACGAGGCATGAGGGGTGACATTATCGGCAGTCGGCCAGGCGCTGAATGACAGAGTGAAGGTGTGACGCTTCTCCGCTTAGCAGTACACAAAGGGCAGAACTCACCTGTCTCACAGCGAGAGAGCCATTGTCCCCTCTATTTAATTTGCATGCACTAAATACTGAATTCGGGCGGAAGCGATGCTGCACCTGCTTTCCTCCTCCTCCTCCTCTGCATCCAAGCACAGATGCTGACACCCAGTGGCCATGAAGTTTCCAGCGCCTATACGAGATGGAAAACTTCCACAGGGATGCCTCAGCCAGGGAGAAACAACTTCTGCTTTTTAATTTCCTCAAGTGCAAGAGGAGTAAAGAGCTCCTGCGAGACGCCAGCCTTTCCTTGTGTCTTTCAGCCATTGGCAGGTTATAGTGGTTGAAACGCTTCAAAATATTGTATACAGAGGCCAGTCAGAAAAATGAAAAATTATGAAGATAGATAATGAGGTAATAGAAGGTAAACTGGTTTTCAATTTGTTTGCTTGTTGGCAGCTTGAAAATAGACCTCAGTGAGAGACAGAGGGTGATTTTGTGTCTTCAGAGACTCTAGTGACCTTGTCATTTCGCCTTCCCTGTTTCGCTGCTTCCCAAAAGCAGTTAGAACATGACAGACGCAAATTGATTTTGCATTTCCCTGCAGCGTGCACAGGATCGTGCTTTCATATGTTTGACAAGTATTGACATTCTCTAGGGGAAAAAAAAAGCTCTGTAGGAAAGGTTGCTTTTTATTCTTCAACAAATGGCTGTAAGACTTTATCAGTCAAAGACAGAAAAAAGACCCTAAACTCAAGGGTGCACAAAGGAGTATGTTTGGCAAAGACATGCCTCACCAGACATGTGGGGGGCTAAGCTGGTAAAACACCAGGGAACCCAGACGTGAGCTGGGAACAATAAGAGCAGAGTATGCCAAAGGAGGGATTTTGAAAGCACTTTACTGAAAATATTAATTACGGACTACAGCAAATGAATTAAACCACTGTAATGCAAATACCGTGTGAAAGAAATACGTAATTACTATAATTCTATAAACATAGGGGAAAAAAAGAAAAGCATACTCCTGAAATTCTAGCATGGTTCAGGATGTTCGGAAGGACTAGCAGCTGGCCACCTCTTAGGGTTAAATTTTGCACGTGCTGCAGATGCGATGCTGTGAGAAAGCGGGTGGGGGATGTCTTGCTGCGGCGGCAGCAGTGAGGACCCTGTGCAGGGTGAGCTGGGTGTGCGGGGACCCCCGCCAGCACCAAGCCGGCTTGCCTTACCTAAATACGCCTGCAAAACTGTGGCATACAGATACCATAAGTAGATGTACTTAATTTATCACTCTGTTACTAGGCAGGTTTCTAGGCAGGCTTCAGCCTAACTTTGTATATTTTGCGATTACTGAAATAGCTCTGATCTTTTTTGGGGTGAGGTCTAGCTACGGAGGTACAACATCCGTTCCTTCACCAGCACCCATTCTTTTTAATTCTTCTTCCCTTCTTACCTCTTTTGGGACAAAATTAGACTAGAAACTTTAACCCAGCTCAAACCCATCCAGCAGGTCGGGATGGCCACTCCAAATGCCCGTGCCCGGTGTTTCCCTGCGGTGGAGTGGGTGAGAGCGCATCCGATGGGCACAGGGCAGCAGGGTGGGCTCCAGCGGCCGGCCTCGCTTTTCCCCTGGGGGAGCTCCACAAGGCACTCGTGTTTTTAGTGGACGTTTAAACTTTTTAAGAGGCTGGCAGAACACCAGAGGCCTAACAGAAGTTATTTTCAATAATGGCAAATCTCAGTGGGACTCTTTCCAATAGTTTTCTCTTTTAACCGTTATTATTAATGCAGTAACTATTGCCCTGGTGGCAGTTCTGAAAACCTGTAGCCCAAATGCTACCCAGTTCTGGGCATGCCAAAGTCCTCTAGTTCCCGAAAGTACCCAAAAACCCTAGAATGAGATTGGCTGAGCATCTATGCTCTCCTGGTTTCTCAGAGAAGGAGCTCCAGGCTTTGTCCCCCAGAGATCACCCTGCCCAGGTGGCCCATGGCTCTACAGGGAGGCAGCCCAGCCTCTGGAGCAAGCCCGGGCAAAAGATTCACGCCAGGGGCAGCCACGGTGTAAGGCTGTGCCCCTTGTCGCTGCAAAAATCCTGCTGGACACCAGAGGGGGAAGAATGGGGATGCTGTACCAAGCAAAGAGCTGCTCTCTCCCATCGTACAGTGGAGGAAATGTCTCGCTGAGCCTGCTCCATCTGGCCTGTTGTAGGAACCCTGCATCCCCTTGAATGGCTCTGATGAGCATGTTCAGGAGATTCCCACTTCCTAGAGAAGTTCCCACAGTGCCTTTGCCAAAGTAACCCTCACTTTTCCTCTGAAGCATCTGTCCTTTGTGGTAGCTGTCATCATGCCTTTTTACAGCAGAGGTTTCTCTCGAAGCCTCTCCACTTCAGCTTTCCAACAGATAAGGCATATCATTAATGAAATAAATCACTCAAGTAGCTCACATTCAGCATTCAGATGCTCTCAGCAGACTATGTGGGGACTGGGAGGATGGGGTGAGAGCGGGGTGGGGTACAATGGCTAGATGCAGGTGTTTGTACCGAGCATCGTTGGATGGGGCTTGGAGCAACCTGGTCTAGTGGGAGGTGTCCCTGCCCAGGGGAACCAGATGATCTTTAAGGTCCCTTCCAACCTAAACCATTCTATGATTGTGTGTGAGGTGCTGCTGTTCAGCATGTGTCCTGTTCACAGATTTCTAGAGACCTTAAAAAAGAACTCACACTTCAAACCCACAGAGCAACGTGTTACCTTTATTCATGGCAGTTTCCACTGTCTCCTTTTTCTCCCTTGTCCTGTTATCAGAAACAGCTTGCTCCAGAGTCAGTTTAAAACTTCTCTGATGTTTTCCTGGGCTAGTTGAGGACTTGAATTGCAACAACCAGCCTCGCAAATGGCAGCAGGTAGGGAAGAGTCACATGGGCTACAGAAAGCTCAGGGCTCTTCCGCTGTCTTTGGGATGATGTTCTAAGAGCAATCCATCAAACACAAGCGGTACAGCAGTCGCAAGCAGCGTTAGCATCCCACCGACGCATGCAATGGCTTTTCTGCTGGGGATCTGAAATGGGCACAAGCTGTTATTCCCGGTACCGAGAGACAGCTGGGGACATGCTACAGCATCCCTGTCACACGCTGCCACGTCCCAGTGGCTATTTCCACAATTTTCTTGCTAGCATATACACTCGGTACGCATTTCATGAACCAAAACATTTGAAAGGTGGATACAAAAAAAAAGATGAAGCAGTGTGTGTCTCAGACTCATGCATTCAGCTACCAAATAGGTGTTAGTTCATCTCTGAGGACAAGAAGGTATTTCTATAGCCAATGCTCCCTCATCAGTGACGCCTTAAAAGGCATATCAGAAAAGTCATCCTCTTGCTTACACTATATGGCCCTAAGGAAAAGATATGAGTACGAGGGGAGCAGTTCTCTCTAAGCCACCCTTCAGACCTGAAGAAAGTGTCATCAGTACCAATAATTTGGATATGGGCAAATCCATCCACTGCGTCTGCTTTCCCTTCGTGCCGTCATTGGCATGAATGCCAATGGGACGGGCACGCAAAGAGAATGAAGCCTTAGCCCATAAAAATGGCACTTCTTTAACACAACCAGTATAAATCTCTGCTGCCTGAGTGTTTTGCGGCAAGATAATGGGATTATTTATGCTGCTGTGCGTATGCAGGTAACTTTGCTGCTTTTAACAGAAGCAGTCTGGGCTCGTATGAGCAGGATTTGGGGCTCTGCCGCGAGTTTACGGGTTGTTGTGAAGCATTTCATATCAGAAACAGCCACACTTACAAGGTGGTTTCCTGAAATAAACTGTTTTTTGGTGTCCAATCTTAGAGCATCTATTACTGTTTGGCTTTTAGTATTTAATATGCTGTTTTATGTATAGCAGTAGTCTGAGACACCCACGTAACAGCAGATCGCACAGACAGGCTGCCTTGGTGCTTACCTTTTCTTGCACTGGCCAATCAACATAAATATTATGAGGCTACTTGACAAGCTCAGAATGACTGGAATGAGGATAAATAGCTGCTTGTCCTCTTTTCTGGACACTGCGAAGATAAATGACATTAAATAAGAAAACCTTAGCTTCCAGAACGGGTCATATTACCTCTTACAAAACTTGGGCTCAGATGCAAACTCAGCGTGTCCAGGTTTGTTACCCGACATACATTTATTTATGACATGTATATGCCAGGTTCGTGTTACTGTATAGGGTAACATACTCCTTCAGGGTGACATATATCCTGCATATGTACTCTATGTGCGTCTTCGCTGCCTTCTGCATCTTGCAGCAGAGCCAGCGCACCTGGGGACCGCCCTATAGAGCCTATGGGGTGCAAATGAGGTGATCCGTGGTGTGAGGCAGCCGGGAGGATGCCCCGGGGGGAGACTCCCAGTACCACGTGCCCTCTCTTGCAAAGCAGTCCCTCCTGCATCACAGACATGCAGTGGGGAAAGGTACTGGCACAGATGCGTTAATATTTGGGTGGTTGGCTGCTAAGTGCCCTGGGGATGCCAGGCTGTAGGAATGGCTGTGCTGGCATAGGCTGAGGGTGGAACTAAACCAGGATCCCACCTCCAGTGGTGGACACCACCGGATGCCCATGGCAGCCGTCAGCACTTGCTCCCAAACGGGCTTTATAAAGGATGTAAAAGAAACGCTGGTTCCGTACCAGAGAAACACTCCTGTGTCCATTCACTCCAAAAGCCCCGGTCAGCACAGAAAATATTTGTTCTCCCCCTGACACGAACACATGAAATGCGGCTTTGATTTGCTCTGGAAATTGTTAAAGCGGTCTCCATTTGGGTTGACACAGACTGAGAAACAAAACAGGGAGAACAGATGTCAAGGAATTACGTGCCACCACCGGTAGCTCTCTGGCATGACCTGGCGTGTCTGAGCATGCTCTCCAGGCTCTGCAAACCCTTGGGTTATATTTTGGCGGTTTTAAATGATTTCGGAATAGTTTTGGACCAACAAGGTGATTATGGAGATGAATCTACTGAAAATACATACATCTGCAGGGGACGGGCATCATGTATGTTGCCATTTATGGCTCTTAATTTATGGAATCTTTCATTAAATTAGCTAAAAAGAATCATGTGTAGAATATGGCATTTAAAGAAAAATTGTCCTTCAGATGACCCCTATGATTAATTAGTTTTCACTGTCTTTGCTGTCAAAACTGAAAGACGTGTTGTGTCCCAGGCCGCTTCTTTGGAGAGATTAGAATTCTAGTTTCACTCCAGCAGGTTGTGCCGCTGTGTTCAGGCCCACAAACCACAGCAACCTGTACGTTTGTGCGGTGACAGCTTTCTGGGGTACCAGGCAGACGGCCTGAGGACCCGCTCGCCCAGGGACTTGCGCCGGGGTCTGTTGGGGCGAAAGCAGACACCGCGGCTGGCGCTCGGGGTGTTAAGTGGGAACGTGCGCCATGGCTACATCAGCGGCACACGGGGTAGCTAACACGGCGTCGGCGGCTGGGTGCGAAGCCCGGTTTCCCAGTGCGCCTCCCCTCTGTGGCAATGGGCTCCCCCCTTGCCCTCCCTGCGGCAGGGGTCCTGTTGTCCCTACCGCCCAGGCAGCCTCGGCCTCCCCCTCAGCCTCCGCCAGCTGAACCTCGTACTCCAGGCACTGGGGCGGCGTTTCTCCCCCCGGTGGGCTCCACACCGCTCGGAGTTCCTCAGACGCAGACATGGAAACCACCAGCTGCTTCGGGGGCGAGGGCTTTGCTGGAGGTGGGGGGATACAAACAGAGGTCAAGAGGTGCCATCAAACAAACAGATACAAACAGAGAGAGGTCAAGAGGTGCCATCAAACCTCTTTGATGGTGGGAAAGACTGCAGTTAGTCACCGCTGACCTCTGCCCTGCCTTTCCCATGGATGGGATTTCTGAGCTCCCATCGCCATCGGCCAGGATGCTGCAGGAGCGGGGTGTCCCCCAGGCTGGAGGGGGGGGTTGTTGATTTTAACAGGGGTTGAGCTGCTGATTTCAGCAGGGGTTTTGAAACTCAGGGGTGTGAGCGCTGTGCTGGGCATGATGCCCTCACTGTGGGGCCGGGTGGTCCTCCCCGTGCTGCCAGGGCAACCTCCGCCCCGGCAGTGAGACACCGCCACGGCACTGGCAGGACACTCACTGCATCCCAGGAGGGGCTCTGGTTTATGTCAGCTGCCCAAAGCCACACGTGAGGCACATGGCAGTACTAATTGAATCCAGAAATCCTGCTCGTTAGCCCAGTGGCTTAACTGAAGGACTGGCTATTTATCCCCTGACATTTCCATGTGGGTAGATGCACCAGCGTGGTAAGGGCCCATAACAAAGAGCGAGTCGCGGGTTGTGTATCACGCTGTGCTTCACTTCCTTCTGATGGGTCTGAAATCCACCTTTGCTCTGGCAGACCCCACCGCACCTTGCGCTCACTTCTCTCCAGCCCTCAGCTCGGTTTGGACAGCACAGCCCAAACATCTCTCCTGCGCTTGCAGCAGCGGCGCAGTGGTTTCAGTTCCAGCAGGAGTAAACGAAGCCACCTCTGTGCCAGTGCTGCCAGAGCCAAAAACCCTGTAGCCTTTCTCCTGACTGCCTGGCAGACCATTTGTATCCCAAGCTATCCAGCTGCCAAGCGCAGTGCTTGAAGGCACCCCCTGACCCTCCAGGGAGGGCACTGAGTGGTGTGGCCCTCCTGCAAGCACTGTTGGGAACCAGAGTCCTGTGTGACATGTGCCACAGCCCCTTCACCAGGAGGGAAATCCACCCAGACACACTACAGCCACCCGTCTACAAGAGTGCACATTTTTTGAGCCCCCATCCTCACACAGGCAGTGGGCTGCGGGTGCGTGGTGGCCATGCATGTCACCAGAACCCCTCTGCTCTCCCACCGGCGTTACCTAGGTTGTGAAGGCGCAGGGTGACGTACAACGGCCGTAGCAGGGTGGCTGCCGCTGAACCGTTGACGCAAATGCTCAGATCCTTATATTCCGCCTGGCTTAGGTTTTGCAACGTGCAGCCAATGTTTATGCCATGATCCTGAATATAGTCATCGCACTGCATGGCATGGTCCAACCCCTCGTACCTAGTGGTGTATTAGGAATACAGAAAGACAAAAATATTCAACGCAATGTCAGTTACTACTTGCGTAAGACATTGTTTTTAAGACTGGACCTAAGCCTCGAGTATCGCCCACCTCCTGCACACCCTTTGCCTTTAGTGAGTGACCCAAAGCACAATCACCTGGACGCCTGCTATGGGAGAAGTGTGGGGAGGAGGAAAAAAAACAAATTAACACACACAGATGGCTTTCCACGTTGGTTTGTAGGCTGTGTCCATCTCTCCCCAAGCACAAGAGGCCTCACACGGTGCCATCATGTGAGTGGAGCCGGGGCAGGATCTGGCCCCTACTCATGGAGACAACCTATCCTCCCATGGGGCATGTATGGCACCATGAGCCACCACCTCGGGAATCTCAGAAAGGTCCCCTCCCAAGCCAAAATGCAGTGGTTTGTGGCAGGGGACATGTGCCATGAACGTGATGAGTGTTAACGAGGTGCTGTGGCCGATTGCAGGTAGGTCCCATGCATCTACATGGGTACATAATGGAAACACAGGGGTGGGAGTGAGGAAGGGATTTGCTGGTTATTACCTCATGTGCAGCCACAAACCTCTCCTCGCAAACTGCCACCTGGTTTTGGGGGCCACTCCCCCATGCTTAGCTGCTGGCACCATACCAAGTGGTGTTTTATACCACCTTTTAAGACTTCTACTGGGTCAGTGCCCTTGAGGCAGGGCTGAATCCGGCCTCTGTACCCTACACCTCCTGAAAGTCCCCCTGCGTGGCACGTTATGGTTTGGGGAAAAACTTCATGTGGTAGTGCTGTAAAAATTAACTCACAGGGATCAAAGGATGCCACGGCTGTGTTCCCACCCACTCTCGTTATGCAATGGGACCCAGCTCCAAATGCCTGGGTTTGTTACAGGCAGTTAAATAAGGGTGGGTTTGTTGTGGGGGGGAAGGTTGTGGTTTTCTTTTTTTAGGAACGAATCATGAATTTCCATGGTTTCTTTCACGCGGACCTTTGTAGTTAGCAAAACAGTTTTAAATCAGTGTGTCTGCTTTGAAGACCATTTCCAAGAGCTACATGGAAACTATTTTTAAAAAGCAGCTATGGTTCTCTCCACGTAGCCCAAAGGCATGAATCCCAATGATTTCCTAACTAGTCATCCTTACCATAGCATCATGGGAACTGAAGCACAAAACCAGCATTTCCTTTGTCCAAAACCGCTAAGTCTAACTTTGTCTTGCAGAACACTACCATTAGGCAACAGTATAAAAGAAACAACTGAGAAACATATACTATTAATACATTTTGGCACCATGGTTGCTTGTATGAGATGTGCAAAGCCTATGAAAACATATTTGAAAGAAGCCCTGCTCTTTGTAAAGGGTTCGTTGAGCTTGGTAACCTCCTGCTGAGTCCTACCCTATAGAGATATATGCACTGGGATTGGGGGAACTGGGCAGCCAGAACAATCAGGGTATGTTCAGCAAAGGGAAAGCCCAAGGCTTCGTGATGGACAACATGCAGAAAGCACTCCACGACAGTGAATAAAAGGGAAAGGAAGAAGAGAGAAAGCACTCCCTGTAAAAGGTCAGCATGAGCCTGATTTTAAGGAAGGCAGCAGGGCAGGGATTCGGTATTTCCAAGGCACATGTTGCTTGGAGCATTATTTCTGCTCATTCTGGGTGATCATGTAAGAGCATCACCAGCCGTGAAAGCATATTTGCTGTGGCATTTTAGTACCCTGAGAGGTTCAGAGAATCACAGAATGGTCAGGGTTGGAAGGGACCTCTGGAGATCATCTAGTCCAACACTTGCTTGATTGCTTGCTGGATGTTTTTCTATTTTGCTGATACGTACCAATAATATAGTCCATAGTGCATGCCGTGAGGAGCGAGGAGACCTGGTTGCCAAGTGCACTTGAGGTATTCCCAGTCGTGATAGATGCACTGGAAATTCTGAACCTCTGATTCCGGTTTTCCTGTCAAATGAGAAGGAAATAATCACTATTTAGCACGTAGCAGTCAGGCCCAGCAGAAATATCATTTTATGCCTTTGAACAATTGTGTGCTGCGGTTGAAAGACAAAAAAAAAGGAAAACAAAAGGTGGCCAGTCACCGTTATTAGATAGTTTTGCAGCCGAGTGCTCTGTTTCCTATAAAAGCCAGTTCACTGCACTTAGAGCGGAAAGATGCATAACTGACCTTTTCATTCAGCAGCAGCGCTCATGCAGGGCACCCCAGTAACCACAGCCGCAGCCAACAGAAGCAGAGATGCTCTGGTGTCTTACACCTCAGCGAGCCCTACAATGGCTCATCCATCAGCAACCCTCGGGACAGCAGCGGCTCATGCAACAGGCTCATGCAAAGTGCAAAACCGCAGTGGGTACCGAAGGCTGCTCCTAACCTTGCAATGGGACCTGAAAGGTAGCATAAATCCCGTCACTTTGCACCTCCACGTCATCGGTACACCGGCCTTCGAGCAGCGTCTGTACCTTCACCTCAGCAGTCCTGCTGAGGTCAAATCCAACTCTGAATTTGAGCTTCCTAGTAAAAATAACCTGATTGAAAGACAGACTTTATAAGCACCTCTTTTGCCGCTAATTGGGCTGCAGAATTAGCTACCATTGCTCCCACTCTGGCTGCCAGTAGGCTCATTTGTGTGCCTTAATGTTTCTTCATGTTTCTGTCCTGCTTGTCCTGCCAGCGCTTCTCCAGCACCCTCGTGCCACCCACTCTGCCCAGCCTCGCTGGCTCTCAGTCCCTCCACCCCACGGCACACCAGCCATGCCAAGACAGAGCAGACTATAGGTCAAGGGATGCCTACCAGCCCGGAGCACCAAGGAGGGGCTGATGAGGATACCGCTGTAAATCCAGATAAAAGGCACTTGTTCCTGACATGACATAATCAGAAACAGAAGGAACAATGAGTCTCGTCGATGGTTCCCGTGGGAAACACGACCACAGCCTGCAAGGACGGAGCAGCAGCCAGGGAGTGGAGCGTGGGCTCCCCACCGCACACTGCTGGGCTTAGCCCTTTGCGGGACATTCTGAGCACTCCCTCTGAAGGGTTTTCTTCTTTCTTTTTTTTCCTCAGACTTACTCTCCCTTGCTTTACACAAGGGAAAAATGAGTTGGCGAGAGTTGCAACAAATGATGAGAGAAGGTGTTGCGTTAGCTCGATCAGTACAGAATTAGCGTGCTGTGAAATGGATATGCACACTGCAGTGGGAACTGCAATGGCACAGCCCACAGTCAGGCTTTCTGTCAGCAGTCCCAGAGTGTAAGAGCAGTGTTGAGCCATAGAATAGTTTAGGTTGGAAAAGATCTTTAAGATCATCGAGTCCAACTGTTAACCCAGCACTGCCAAGACCCCCACTAAACCATGTCCCTCAGCACCATGTCTACACATCTTTTAAATATCTCCGAGGGTGGTGAGTCAACCACTGCCCTGGGCAGCCTGTTCCAGTGCTGTTCCATGTGTTCCTAACAGACTTTGATGACTCTCACTTCTGCTAATGTCCCACGGATTTTTTTCAGACTCATTCTTCTTCATGACCTTATCTGGGGTCAAGGTTTTGGCAAGGTACCAGAGGTGATTATTTTTTCTACTTTTTAGATCTCCCTTGTATAAGACACTTTTATTACTTGTGATTTAGGGAGTTCTGATGTGTTTTTTAAAACCGTATATTTTTTTTCCTTTGTGCTTTTTAAATGCCAGTATAAATCATCACAGAAGAATCTGCACAGCTGCACGCTGTTGCGTGGCTGGGAGCGTGATGTGCATCATGACCGATGTCGGGCCGAAGAGCCCCTTCCCGTGCCCTTGCCACTGCAATCTGTAGCTGAAATAGGGTGGGAAGCACCGTGCTCCTACACCTCTGCAGGCTCCCGTGGGACGGCTGGGCCAAACCCCACTCGCGTGGTGGCCAAGCGCAGCCTGGCGGCTTTGCTGCCTCAGGTGGACGAAGCGGATGACCATGCAGAAAACATTCATAGCAAGAGGCTGGGGTGCACGCTGCTCACCCAATGTGACTGCTCCTTCTCTCTCACCCTGCTCTCTTGAGCTGGTAGTTCTCCAGCACTCCCCCTTTAGGAGTGTGCAAAAAAATCTTGCTTTCTTTCAACACCAATCTGTAGTTTGGGTCATTGGGGGACATCCTCGGAGTATTTTTCCTGTGTTCCTCAGTACCTTGCACCAACCAAACAGCCTACTGCTGGGTTTCTCCTCTCCTGGTACTATTTACCTTCCTAACCCTGCAGCAGCTTTCATCTTCCAAGCACTCCCAAAATACATTCCGACAACCCGCCCTGTGCTGTGCCTGTCTGCTATTGCCCCGCTACGCATCAAGGAGAGAAGACTGACAATTTTATCATAGAGCTGAGTTAAAGTCAACCATATCTAAAAGACAAAAGTAAACGGTAATTAGAAACAGCCTTCTGGATAAAGGGAATGTTTGAGCATTAGGGTAATTAATGAAATGTAATCCTTTATTTATTCACCACTTTGCATCCCTAAGGATCGGTTGACATTGAGTTTCAGTTCAAGCCCCGTGAAGACTTTCTGAAAAGCCTAGTGCCTTTTACCACGAGGAACGCTACTAGATGCTCTTGGATTGCTCTTGGCAGCAAGCACCACACCCTCTGACAGCAATGGCCCCTTCTCTGACCGCTGCTGCTGTTACATTTCATAACACATTCCCCTCTGGCGAAAGGTTCAAACCACTGGAACCGTCTGGTTTTTTCGTGGAAAGCTGGAACTGCTTCGGTACCACTCCTCCTTGAAATGCGAACATAAAGCCATGCACTAAAGGCAGAACAACAGCCTGGATTTAAGAGGATTGAACTGCGCTTTGTCTTACCTTCCAGTCTCTGTCACCAGCGTTGCGGTATTCAACCTTGTATTTCACTGTGCATTCATCGAAGGTTTGTACATTGGGTGGAGGTTTCCACTCTATATCGAGAGAACCTAAGAGTCCGGGATCAGTGATCCGAAGGTCTTGTGGGGGAGCAACTAAATTGGAAACAAAGCAGGGGGGTAAAACAGAGTGTGGATGCACAGAAAGTTGAAGAGCTGAGAGGTTGAGCTGCTGGGTGTGAGGACACACACTGCTGGGCCAGGTCCAGCCCCGGCTCTTCAACAGCCTGTTGTCAGCAGACACGCACCACCTCTACTTCTGCCCTCCCACCAAAACCCAGTTTTTGCTGATGCTCAGAGAGAACACTCAAGGACCATTGAAAAGGCACAAAGAATGCCGCGTCTTTAACACTCTTTTTCAAGATGTTTTCAGCAAAACTGCTGTCCTGGGATGACCTTTCCAGTCCCACATTTGCTTACTTTTAACTTATGATATTTATCGACTGTCAGGACAAGTATCTTTGCAAACATCGTGTTCAGCACATACACCAACGTAGGATGACAGATCACAGTGTGCTGTCAGGGAAATTTATATTCCTTAACCACAACAGACACAAATCACCCGTATTGCTTTAAATATTCCTTTTAAGTGTATTACGGATTAATGAAAAAACAAGACAAAAAACATACAGAAGGAGAAAAGCAGAGAGTTAAAACCATTCTTGTCTTGGACAAGTATCAGCTATACAAAAATATGCTTTTACAGTCAATCTGGCTTTTATTAAGCTATTGTAAGGTGCTGCTGTATGTTAATAAATCAGCATATATTATGGATGAATTCTGCACTAAGACGTACTTCCTAAAAGCCCAGCTCTGCATGGAGCTGTCATTCACATGACAAAAGCTGTTTGGCTATTTAGTTTTATTAATTCAAACGAAGTCAATTTTTGTAACATCTGAGGTCATTTCTCTCTACTGCCTGGAGGTGAGATCATCCATTTGGGTTTCTACATAGTCACTGCATGATATACTTTTTTCATGGTGGTTTGGAGCCCATCTCCGGGCAGTGTCAGTCCAGCATTGCCACCATGTCTCTGTTTAAGTCTGGCCTCCAGGTCACTGGCTTCTCTGCCACCTTTTTCATGTCTTCATCAGGATTTACACCATTTTTTCCCTTCTATTTTTTTAATAAGTCCATCATGAAAGCAGACCCTGAGACTATCTTTCAGCGGAAGACGGTTGATATAAATCAAACTTTAATGTGCTCCTTGGAGAGGTCGCAGAGAACATTGTTGGAGGATTTATTTCTTCAAAGGAAACTCTCCCAAATGAAACACACCGCAGGCAGCATCCTTAAGATCCCACTTTTCCCAGCGTGTGAAGCTCCATGGGAGGTTTGCCATTACATTAGATGGCAAAGTAGGATATCATGGCAATGTGTTTAGGGAGGTGCTGGGGCAAGGAACAATAGATTAGAAAAATTTGGAGAAAAAATAGATTTTATGTGTTGTTCTATGTAACAATTAAAGCACTCTCCCTCCCACCAGCTGTGCGTCCCATGAATGCAGCCTGCGTTTGGAAGGGGGTTTGCTCCAGCTCTGGGGACAATGGGGCATGGTCCCGCACATGCCGTATCTTGTATTCAGCAGCCCCCTGTTCCCGCAGGAGGCGAGGGGCTGGTATCGTGACGCTACGACAGGCACAGGTTTCCCAGCCAGGGCAGAGGAGGGGAGTAGGGGCAGCTCTGCCTGCTTACAAGGTAGTCAAGCTGGGCTCTTGGTGAGCATCAAAGGTGGGAGTGGAGGGCGAGACGAGGGCATCTCACCCACCTCCTGTGTCTGCACAAACATGCACAGGCTGTGGGAGAGGGAGGGAGAGTGAGTCTGAGGGACAGGCGCTTGAAGAGCTGTGGCTGCCGCAAAATGAATGAGTGGCTGATCCAGAACGGCCATTCGGGAGGGAGGGGGAGAAGGCGAAGGGCTATTCCTACCTCCAGGTAAGAGCCTGCCAGGCCGGCGTGAGGGAGGGCTTCCACAGCACCCATTGCACCATGGCCTGGGGTCCAAGCCAGTCACGGTGGCTGGCCATTTCCATACCAGGCTGGCCAAGGAGAGCTGCTGGCAAGGCTGCTAGCCCGACTCTCCTGTGCTCGGGAACCTCCTCCTGAGTGAGTAAATGCTGAGCCTCACAGCAAGGCGAGAGAGGAAGAGAGAGCTATGGGCGTTTGTCATGAGCCTGGTGATAAGCTGGCAAGAGAGGATTAGATCGGTCAAATCCCCGGTTCAAGAAGGACAGGGAACTGCTGGAGATGGTCCAGCAAAGGGCTACAGAGATGATGAGGGGACTGGAGCATCTTTCTGATGAGGAAAGGCTGAGGGACTTGGGGATTTTTAGTCTGGAGAAGAGAAGACTGAGGGGGGATCTTATCAAGGCTGATAAAGCCTTCAAGGGAGGGTGCCGGGGGATGGGAACAGTCTGTTTCCAGTGGTGCCCAGTTACAGGACAAGAGGGAACGGGCACAAACTGGAGCATCAGGAGTTCCATCTCAACCTGAGGAGGGCCTTCTCTGCGGTGAGGGCGGCAGAGCAGTGGCAGAGGCTGCCCAGAGAGGTGGGGGAGGCTCCCCCTCTGGAGCCATCCCAAACCCGCCTGGACGCCGTCCTGTGCCGCTGCTGGAGGTGCCCCTGCTCTGGCGGGGGGGGGATGGGGGAGCTCCAGAGGGCCCTTCCCACCCCCACCAGGCTGGGATTCTGTGAAAAACAGAATTTCTGACTGAAAACGGTAACACTCTGAAATGTGTTTCCATCCTGAGTTCGAACAAAACAACAATACATTTTTCAAAACAATTGCAACTGTAAACAGCAATTCTTGCAAAATAAATTTTGACTGGATTTCAGAGGGAATAGAAAAGCTTCTTTTTGGGATGTGGCATGCATTCTGGCATTCAATTGTTTTTTAAGTGTCAGCAGTGCCTCTTGCAGTTCCTCATTTTCACAGTATTACATGACAAACCAGTCTCAATCACATCAGTCACACAGGAATAGAAATACTCTATTTCGTTATCCTGTCTTGAAGGAAAGCTGCACCTGAATGTTTCTTGGGAAAAAAAAAACAAACAACCAAAACCAAACAACAACTCCACTACCTGATCTGCACAGCGGGGAGTCAGGTAGCGATGTGCAGGTGGGACAGCCGCAGATCTCCTTGTCCACCCGCTGCCAGCTGCCGTGCTCACTCACGCCAACACCGCAGCTTTGGGGATGAACCGCCTGCTGGTGTCCCACCGCCTCGCCCCGCGCCGTGCCGTAGGTGATGCAACCAGCAGGAGGTTGTGCAATTTTCCACCTATTTGGCCGGTGGAAAAAACAGCAGCCTGCCAGGTGGCCCCCACCCATATCTTCTGGGTCTGCACTTCTCCGTGCTGGTCAGAGAGGTGCCGGTGGCTTTCGTGCTTTGAGAAACCCGTTTTAAAGGTGATGCTGCTTTGCTTGGCGTGGCAGCAGTGTCTCTGCTCGCTGATGGGACAGGGAGGTCTCGGTGCCCTCCTGGCCAAGTTGTCACCTCTCCACCGTGCCCTGGCTGCGAGGCCAGACCTGCTGGCCATCGCAGTGGAGAAGGAAAGCTTTTGGGTGCAAAGTCCCAGCTACAGCAGCCCAAAAGGGCTGGGGCTGGTGGGTGCGGTGCCCCAAAGAGGTGCTTGAGGGCTTGAAGCAAAGGGTGCCATTGCCGTGGAGGATAGCTTGCAGAGCAGCATTTTTTTTTAGAAGAAATTATTATTCTCCAATTACAAATAAGCCTTGTGTTTCTTACACAGTCTGCCCGGCTGGGATGGCGCTCAGGAGCATTTATGTAGCCAAGTGGTATTTATATCTGAAATAAATCTATATCAAACAATATATTCGCTGTGCACCAAAGGAAATTTCTGCTCCTTTTGAAGATACGCAGAAAAATATCCACTAAACACACACTGTATTTATGCAATTGATCACAGGTTTATAAATCAGCCACTCACTGTAACACACACACACACACACACAAGAACAGCTTCAGTTGAAGGACTAACTTCATAAAGGGCCTGAGTTAATGTCAAGCATACGTTAGGCAGCGACACGAACGGCACGCCGGGCTTTACCTGCGGTGTGGGAGGAGGAGGAGGAGGAGAAGGCCAGGCATCCCCACACCAGCGCCGCAGAGAAAGTGCAAAGCCACCGGAGAGCCATTCCAAGGCAAGGATGCTGCGGCTGGAAGGTGTGCGGCGTCAGAAACGGGGTCCCGCGGCACACGTGCGAGAAGGCTGGAGAAAATAAAGCAGAGTTGAAAGGCTTCAGCGCATTGGTGGGGCACTGGCATTCCTTCTGCAGGGGCAGCACTGACAGCACGCTCCTTTTCACTCGTTTGCTGAGGCTGATTAATCATTTCCCAGAGGACGCTTATTTGTGACTTTTGGGGATGACAACACATGGATGACTTTGGCTTCATTTGAAACAGTTTCTGGCTAGCTAAGCACATTCTCCGAAGGCTTGTCAGACTGTACTTCAGTCACCGAGCTGTCTGCCATGCGTCTTCTGAGGAAAGATTGATGGAGCTGAGTGCCTGACCTGCCTGCTGGGGGGGAAGTGCCTCGGACCAGTGACATTTCCATTAAAAAAAATAACAAACCCAAACCAGAATGCCCAAGCCTTGCCTTAGCCAATAAACTGACACATCTTATGCAACTGTCGCAAGTGCATTTGTCTTTTCTGTTCCAGAATTTGGTGACTCAATGAAAAAAGAAATGCAGATAATTTCCTTTCTAATTCACCCTCCAACAACCAAAAAAAAAAAAAAAAAAGGTAGGAAGGCTTGTGAGTTCTTAGTTGTCATGGTCATTTTTGAAGGGGACAAATTTCTCTCCCTGAGCAGGTCTGCTGGAGGGAAGGTGGGGACTGAGAGGGAGAGAGGAGCAGAGTTTCCAGGGCGGAAACTTCTCCTCTCTCCACATTTCATTCTGAAGGTGGGGAGGAATCGCTGCCTACGGACACACCAGCCCAGCCTGCTTCCCTGTGCCAGAAATCATATGGATTACAGGTAAAAAGAATATAGATATAATTTTTTTCTTTAATTTTTACATATAGATATACATATAGGTATAGATTAGATAGAGATTGGGCAGGGGGAGAGAGAGAGATCATATAGATTAGCTATATAGATACCAATCTTTCTGAAAGCTTGAGGCTGCTGGGGGTGTAAGGACGTGGTGACATTGACGGGAACACAGAATGCATCACTGAGCTCCTTTCAGGTTACAAACCGACTTCACCTTGGCCATGCAGCCATGACTATAAAAGGGGGACCCCCATGTCATACTCTGGCGCCGCAGCACCTGCGTCTGCAGTGTGACAATACGAAATTGGGGATCTGCTGAATGGCAGAGCTTCAAGTTAGAAGGACCTTGGGGAATCTGAGGGTTGGGGCCAACAAAAACCTCATTGTTTGAAGAAGTAGTGGCTCAGGCTCAGGGGAACCAGAGGAGACAGGTTGTGCTGGGGGCATGGGGGTAGTTTAAATTATCCAGAAATTCTAACTAGCAACACACAGCAGCAATGAAAAATACACAACCATTTTAACAGCTAATCTTCAGTTTAAATTAATATTAAATCCTCCCAAATCCATCACATAAGTATAAGCAATACCAGTAATTTTTCTGTTTCACTGTGAAATGGGAACGTATGGAGAAGTTCCAGTCAGAAGAAATGACTGGAATTACTTCTTAACAGATCAAACATGACATAAAACTTGTGTCAATTCAAACTTGGCTGCATGCAGAAATCTCTGCCTGAGAAAGGTCTCATAATTCAGTACAAGGATGGGATGACAAGGAGAGCTGGCTTACAGAGCTGGGAAAAGCAGCAGCTGTAACTCACAGCATCCAAGGGCTGCACATGAACGTTAGTGGAGGAAGCTTTTTCCATTTCCAGTACAGGTAATTTTAATGCATTCACATGGTTTCACAAGGCAGCTAAAAATAAACAAAGGCTTACACAGAAAGATTTAAAACCAGTGAACTGCTCTTACCTGGACCTCTAAGTGCATGGGAGCCCCTCTGCCTCCGGAGTTCCGAGCTCCTCAGCAGCCTTGTGGCTGCTCTGCTCAAAACTTTGAGTTTCCTGGAAATTTGGAGGTTTTTAGAGGCCAGTCTGTTCTCTTCAGGGGTCAGATGCCACATTGCAATGTTATGGCACTTGCCACATGATCAGAGGCTTTACCAGAGCTAGCACCAGAGAGGACGTTGCCAGGATTTATGAGGTGTCGGTGCTAATTGTTGCTATAACTGTGCTCAAGCAGGTCAAAGAGATGTTTGAAGTGTTTAAATAACTCATTAAAATGAAAACCAAATGGCTTAATCAGTGCAGGCTGTCTGCTGGAGGCTGCCTGAGCCCCTCGCGGCAGTGGCAGCAGTGCACAGCTGTCCCCAGCACCCACGCCGTGACTCGCCCAGCACCGCTCTGGCCGGTGGTCCCCAGGGCCAGCCCTGGTTTGACCCACCGCAGCCACTCACCCCGAGGCAGCCGCCTCCGCCGGCTCCACAGCCAACCCAGCTGCTTCTCAGGGCTCTGCAGGGAATAAATAAAATCATCCAATGCCTCTCCTCTCCTCTGGGCTACCCACACAATGTGCTCCTTGTATAGCCTTGCCATCACCATGGACTTCATCCCTCCATCACCATGTGGGCACCCCCTCGCCCCCAGGCTGGAGCACCCCTTGCAAGGAGCGGGTGGCTTCAACCACACCTGGTTTGCCCCAGGTGAGGGCTGTGGTACCAAATACACCTCACTGAAAAAACATCTCATGACTCCTGTTGCTGTGCTAAAGGATCAGCCAGGGTCATGATATGGGTGGGTCATCTCCACGTTGCCTTGCGTGAGCGGAGGGAAGTTGGTTGCAGCAACTCCCCTCCAGGAGGGACAATAAAGGATCTTTCAGAATGAGTGGAGCTGTGGTGCACGTGCCCCGACAAGCAACGGGCTGTGGCTGAGGCTGGATCTGCCTGTGGCCAAATTTAGGCATATTGAGAAACAGTTCAGACATGCTAAAAATAGGAGAAACAGCATCAGGAACTGAAGGAGTGCTTCTTGTTAGGAAGAAAACTGCCCTCCAAGCGCCTGTGCGAGACTTACGGTGTCGCTGTTTGAATTGATGCCCGAATGAATGTGTTTCCACACATTCTTCCCAGTTGGAGTCAACGGCAATGTTTCGGAGCAGCAAAGGCAGGATCAGGACCCTTTCCCACTGCCAGTTGTCCTCTCCGATTCCCCATGTGCGCACAGGCAGACCCGCGGAGCTGGGGGAGGCATGGGCACTTTTCAGGTGTGAAGCCATTCCCATCACGTCATAGCTGTTCGGTTCTGGCTCCAAGAAGACGCTGTGAAGGTAGGTGCCAATGGAAAAAGCTTGGCCGTCCTTCACACTTTTTGAACTTTCAAGGTAGTTGCAAGCAAAATTTCAGAACTTTTTTGCCTTTTGCTATGCCAAATACAAAGTGATCCCATACATCTGGTTATAGCAACTCCCTCCTAGAACAGACACCAACTGCTCTGTGCTGGGTGAGACCACAGCTCTGAGATGAGAGTGAGGAAGAGCGCTAGGACTGTGAAGACCAGTTAGTCCTGCTGGGTGCCAAGGGGAGCTCTGAACTGGGGAACCAGGAAGCCCATGACCCACCAATGTCCTGATCCACGGTGGCATTTGGTTGGGAAACAGCCCCAGAAAACCATGGGGCCTTTGCCTGTGGTTGAAGACCACTGAACAGGTGAACAGCCTTTTCATCTTTCCAAGGCAAAAAGCAGCCGAAATGGGTAACACAAACCCTTGCACCCTGTGAATTTTGGGGGTGGAGGGGTTGCGGGTGAGTTCTCCCTTCACTGCAATTGCACAGCGCTGCTTGTTTGCTTCTTACTTTCTGCAATGGATGGGGGAAAAAATTCCCTTGCTGCTGGTAAATGTATGTCCCTGCTTTCAGAGTTATGCAAGAATAGGATTTAACATTCATGTATTCTTATTGTGTAAGCTACTTAAGCAGAAAAGGTCACACTGGACAGATCATTTGAAACAGATGAGAAACATTTGCCAGTAGGATGATTGCCAGTTCCCGAGTGCTAGAACTGGGTCAGTTCTTGAGAAAATTAGGCTGGAAAAAAGCATGGTTGGGATTTGCAACAATAGGGCCCCACGAGGCTGCCGGCAGCGCTGGAGCACCCGGGGAGGAGTGGAGAGCGCACCGTGTGGCACCATCCAGCCTTCCCCCACCGTCCTCCTGCCCAAACCCGTGGGTGGGAGAGCCAGCGGTGCTTGGGGCACTCCTCTGCTCAGACCTTGGCTTGCACCGCCCTGGAGCTGTCAGCAGTGCCCTGTCAAGCCGTGGGAAACACGGGGCAAATCCCTGCCAGCGCTGGACCAGAGCCTCGTGGTGCTGAGCTCAGGGCAGGTGGTTTGCATCTTACTAACTATTCTACAAATAGGGGTCAAGTTGCAAAAAACTCATACATAAGGTGATGGCAAGCTCATGGAGGAAGGGGGTAATAAAAATATACCCACTCCGGCTCACCAGCACGCAACTGGGAGGGTGCCCTGGCGAACCCTGGTGCCCCGAGCCATCCCCAGGCACTGCGGCTGGCGCTGCCTTTTTTGGCTCTGCCACCCACAGCCATGCCCTGTGCCTGCCTGTCCTCGGAGCCCCACAGCATTGGCACCAAGATACCCCTGCACCAGCCCCAGGGGTGCAGGGACCGGGACCGGGCAAAGACACAGGGATTTTTTCCTGCTCGCGTGGCTGCCTTCCCCACCAAAACGGTACTTGGAAGCACCACTGACTTGTGGTGCTCACAAATGAGTTTTTTGGGGATTTGTCAGCCAGGTGAGTGACTCCTGAGGGTCACTATGCGCTCACAAACCTCTCCCTGGAGCTTCCTCCTCCTCCAGGAGCCTGGGCAGGTCCCAGGGCCTCCCAGCTGCCTTACAGGGACAGGATTAATAAAAGAGCTAAAGTGTAGGGAAGGCAAACTTTGTAAAGGTGCCTCCGAGCTGAGTAAGAGATTTCAAAGGGCAGAGGAGACCCTTGGCCGGGTCCTTGGCCTCTGACAGATATGCTGGGCAGGTGCATGCAGAAATTAAAAAGCACTTCTGTAAAACTCCACTTTTGTTTGAGGAAATAAAGGAAAAGCAGCATCGCTGCTGAAACACC